TCTAGCTACCTGGAAAATGCTAGTCTGCTCCTCTGCATCGCACAGTGTAAAAAACAGCTCATCAGATCAACCTAAAAACAATTACGGTAACACTTTCTATGAATGTCACCTTTGTAAGCATCTATAAACACATTTATAACATGGTATAATGTATTCATAAGGCTATATAAACGTGGTTATAAATATTTATAAAAAAGAATTGCACTGAATTACACTTTATAGCCATGTTTATTATACAATATGAATTGTTAACATAATGCATTATAAATAGTGTTAATAACATGTTATAATGTCAGTGCCAAAGAAGTCAGTCCCAGCTTGGAGAGCGTAAAGTAAAGACAAATACCAAGCTAATGGTGGTGTACATTACCTTTCCCACATTGGGTAAAACACTGATGCAGCTCTAGTTTAAACTCTGACATTTGAAGCCTGTAATGAGCTTTACTGTGAACGTTTTAGTGTTTCAGTAAATCCTTCAGTAAATACTTCAACTTGAAGCCTCACTCTGAACACTGGAGGAGGCTTTAGTACAGTACGCTTCACTTTACTTAGAGCAGACAAATACGACTTATGAGCTCTTATAATTTGTTATGATCAGTACTTATAATGTATTATGTTAACAATTCATAATGCATAATAAACATGGCTATAGCATATAATGCATTTTTATAAATAATCATAGCTATGTTTAAAATGTCTTATGAATGTATTATAACATGTTATGAATGTGTTTATAGATGCTTACAAAGGTGACATTCATAGAAAGTGTTACCACAATTACTTCATGTGGTAACAAGTAAATTAACTAGTTTTACTTTACCTGGGTACTTTGAATGAGTGATTATTAGAATCAATGTAATATTTTGAGTTGAATAAAACTAGTTTAATTGCTTGTTACATGATGTAATTTAAATTTTTTTAGGTAGATCTGACGAGCCATTTTTACTGTGTAAGAGAGAAACTGTGGACAGGTTGTGAGTTTTCATGGCAATGTGAGTACTGAGAGCCTTTGGCTAACAGGGAGTGCTAGCCCATCACTAAATTTTATGGCTTTAAAACAAATAGTTATTACTGTACACTGTAAAAAATAGCTTGTCAGAGCTGCCTAAAAATATTTCATGTATTAAGTAAATACAAGTAATTGAACCAGTTTTATTCAACTCAAAAAATTACTTTAATTAAGTGAATCGTTCATTCAAAGTATTTATTCACGTTGAATAAAACTAGATAATTTGCTTGTCATTTTTTTAGGTTAAACTGATGAGCCTTAAGTCTCAAGCCTGTCAATCTTTGCATCAAAGCAAAACTAGGGTATGAAAACAAAGACAGCTATTCATCAGCATGCAAGGATTAATACGCAAAAAAGAAGGTGCAACCCAATCATGTGCTGGTGAGACATTTAGTCTAGAACCCTGATGAGCCGTTCTGCCTTTCACAACTTGACTTTAACAAGCTTTATTTCTTTAGAGTTTGGAATATGATGGTGTGAAGTCATGCAATTTTGTGAGTATATTAGAATAATGCAGTTTCTTAAATACTGAATAAATAAATATATATACTTTTTTTAGAGTAAAATATTGTGTGTATTTATATTTACAGCATTGCATTTATTCTGCCAAATAACTCATAAACAATATTGCAAACATAATAATAGCAAAAATTTCAATCAAGTTCAGTATATGCATATGACGAAAAAAAAACAAAAACAGGGATGCTTGGAAGGACGGCAAAAACAAAACATGTCTCGGAAACTCAAGTCATGCATGACCTTGTTCCTCATACCTCAAGTCAGCGCCGCAGTTCCTTTCCGTAATTGTGATAGTTCTGTTTTTGTTATCAATTTAAATCTAGATGTATCACGAAGAAGGAATACATGGAATATTGGTTAATATAAAGTTGCAGAGTTTTAACATCTCCTGCAGATATTTTCTTCTGGTTGCAGTTTTTTTGAATTTGTGTTTTTAACTCATTGTGAGTCTCATTGTGAGTCATACATTCTACTTTTATGCAAATATCTTTCTTGTAATTACATTCAATTTGTGTCCTTTCTGCACAATCTTGAACAAAAAAGAGCTGTTACCTACTTCACACTCTGTTCCCAGAATCCTAGGATAGTTTGTCATTGCTTGCAGTGAGACCACCCCCTCACCAACACCCACCACCCCCCAGCCCCATCCCCAGCCCCATCTCCACCCCCCACCCCCCACTCGACTACTTCCACACTCCAAGTTTTGTCAGTATGATTATAAATCCAGAGTGCTGGATTTTAAACAGTGGGTGAAATAGTTAAACTAGAAAGAAACACATCAGCCTAATTATTAATAGACCATGCAAGAAGAGTTTAAAATGAGAAATGATTAAATTAAGAGCAGAAATAGAATGTTTACATCAAAAGAAAAATATGATCATATTTCACAGAAAATAAGGCTGTGAAAAGTGTTACATTTGGCTTAAGGAAGACATGTTTCACTTACAGATGCCATCCGTTTTTCTGTTCTTGTCTCATACCGTATCTTTAGCGTGTGTGTTGATAAGATTTGTATCTGGATTCTTGCTGATTACCAGTTTTGAGCAGACCACTTTCAAGCAATCTCCGCCCACTACTGAGCATTCTTATAAAGGTTTAGAGCAGCGAACAGTCAGGAAGCAGTGAAGAGGAGAAGAGACCAGATCAGAAATCAGAGGTAAATGTTTTCAGTAGAAGCCTTAAGCTTATCGTGCTACACTGTACAGCTGGAACAGATCGTGAGGTGATATGAAGTAATGTAATAGTTTTATTAATGTAACCTGTTTGTTTGGCTTTGCCTTTAAAGGATGATCACACTTTTTTTTCAGCACTCATGCAGAATTTTACAGTTAGGATGTTAACAACACTGTAAAAAGTGACTCATCAGATCTACCAAAAAATGACTTCATGTGGTAACAAGTAAATTAACCACTTTTATTTAACCTAAAAAAATTATACTGATTGAAAGAATTGTTCATTTAGGTTGAACAAAACTAAACAAAGTGTTTATTTAGGTTGAACAAAACTAAACAAAGTGTTTATTTAGGTTGAACAAAACTAGTTAATTTACTTTTTACCATATGAAGTCTTTAAGTAGATCTGACGAGACATTTTTTACAGTATACACAAAAAAAATGGTTTGTCACTTCAACTTTTAAAAAATCTTAAACAAGGAGTTTTAAGTGAATTCTATTGACTTTTTAAAATGTCTACATAAATTAATTTTTGAGACGTAAACAGAGAGATTCAGAGCGGTTTGGTGTGAAATGGTTCAGATGTCTTTACAGTGGTGGAGATAGGAACCAGGGGTCGCCATGACTACAACACAAATATAGACATTTTATTTAGTATTAAATATAGACATTTAATTTACAAAACCACCACACTGTAAAAAGTGTCTTGTCAGATCTACAAAAAAAATGACTTCATGTGGTAACAAGTAAATTAACTAGTTTTATTAAACTCAAAAAATTATACTGGTTGAAATAATCATTTATTCAAAGTATTTATTTTATACATTTTATAAGTATTTATTGAATAAAACTAGTTAATTTACTTGTTACCACATGAAGTCATTTTTTTTAAGTAGACAAATCCCAAATAAAGAACATTGGTGAATGTCAGAATCTGCGTAAGTGGGTTTAAGAAGGAACTTCTTCTTAAGAATGGTTGGTGAAGGAGATTGACTCAAACTCACAGTTGGGATCCAGGTGCAGGTTTAATAGCAAAACTGAAGTTGCTATGTTCAAAAAACAGGTGAGCACAAGTCCATACAAAGGAATCCAGGTCACAGTCAAACACACAGTCAAACACACAGTCCATGGCTGAATATCGAGAGAAACAAAAGTTACAAAGGCTATGAACTTTAGAACAAACATACAAAGAGACAAACCAGTAAGACTATGGCTGTGTTTGAAAAAGTCTAGTTCGTACAACTCACGACCGATTGTGTCCAAATGTAGTCAGTAGTATGCAGCATGTGACCAAGATGAATTTCTCCAGTAGCCAGATGACGTACTGCTTCGGCCAAGTATTCCAGTAAGCAGACAGAGCTGTCTTCATGACGTACTTCATGCCAAAACCCACACTGCCGTTTTGGGAGGACGTAACTGCTTGGTTTGCTGCAGACAACTGAATAGCCCTTTTTTAACTTGTGTAAATTTAATTCTTCATATCAAGATTTACATTTCTACATGTGAAAATTACATTTTCACTAATGAAAATGTGATTCTTACTACTAACAATATTACCCCCATTAAAATGAATGGGGAAACTCATGAATTATCACTAGTAAAAATAAAATATTGACTAGTAAGAATTACATTTTTTTAATAGTGGTATTTCCAAATACCACTTAAATTTTCGCATATGTAAATTGAATTCCTGATATCAGGAAAAAAAGGACTAAAAGCTAAAACAGCTTGGAGATTAGCTTCCTTTGCCTATTTAATGACGTTAAGTTACTGCACAGACAATGTGGTTAAAACAGTAACTTAATATTCAACCACACAATTCGCTCCGCATTGGTTTCCCAGGCTCGAGTGTGGAGTCTTATTATGCTTACTATTCTGTCCATCACCAAATAGAAAAGTAATGAAAACAAATTACTCACCTTTTTGCACAAACAGGAAAACGAGTCTCTAGAAACCACACAGGTTTACCACACAGACCAATCCAAATAAAACACCCTCCACTCTGTCATGGTATGTTTCAGAGCTCAACAGGTACATGACTCGACCAAAATATGTCCGCGTGTGTTGATAAAGACCTGAAGAGTGGCTAGCCATGGAATGAAGGGCTGAGGGCGGGTCTTGAGATTGGTCTGATTGGCTCCTGCCCTGTAGTACGACACACAGATTTTTCTGTATAATGGACACTATACTGTATATGACTGATAAAGAGTACAGAACATACTGATCCATATGCAACTTCAAACGGTCTTTAATAAAAACAGCTCAGTATTGGACAGCAAGACTTCAGGAGGTGTGGAGGGGAATCTGCAGGCATATTTGGCAGATTGTTTTAGGAATGTGACAACAAATACTACAATTTAATACTCATGGAATGCATGTATTCTTGCAATGTTTGTACTAACCATCAAATCTTTATGTATTTTTTTTCCAGAACCATGTTTCGGCTCACGCTGATCTTAGGTCAGTCATCTTGTTAGCGCATCGTACACTGATCAGGCATAACATTCTGACCACCTCCTTGTTTCTACACTCATTGTCCATTTTATCAGCTCCACTTACTATATAGGTGCACTTTGTAGTTCTACAGTTACAGACTGTAGTCCATCTGTTTCTCTGATACTTTGTTAGCCCCCTTTTACCCTGTTCTTCAGTGGTCAGGACCCCCATGGACCCTCACAGAGCAGGTACTATTTGGGTGGTGGATCATTCTCAGCACTGCAGTAACACTGACGTGGTGGTGGTGTGTTAGTGTGTGTTGTGCTGGTACGAGTGGATCAGACACAGCAGTGCTGCTGGAGTTTTTAAAAACCTCAGTGTCACTGCTGGACTGAGAATAGTCCACCAAAAACATCCAGCCAACAGCGTCCTGTGGGCAGCGTCCTGTGACCACTGATGAAGGACTAGAGGATGACCAACACAAACTGTGCAGCAGCAGATGAGCTATCGTCTCTGACTTTACATCTACAAGGTGGACCAACAACAAAGGTGCGTCTAATAGAGTGGACAGTGAGTGGGCACAGTGTTTAAAAACTCCAGCAGCACTGCTGTGTCTGATCCACTCAGACCAGCACAACACACACTAACACACCACCACCACGTCAGTGTTACTGCAGTGCTGAGAGTGATCCACCACCCAAATAGTACCTGCTCTGTGAGGGTCCATGGGGGTCCTGACCACTGAAGAACAGGGTAAAAGGGGGCTAACAAAGTATCAGAGAAACAGATGGACTACAGTCTGTAACTGTAGAACTACAAAGTGCACCTATATAGTAAGTGGAGCTGATAAAATGGACAATGAGCGTAGAAACAAGGAGGTGGTCAGAATGTTATGCCTGATCGGTGTATTTTCACACATGACAAACATGTGAGTCACACATTATTAAACAATGTATTTAAATCTGTATTTCTACAAAAATGACTGTCTTAAACAGGGCTCTGCACACTTGGTGTTTGTCTTCTTCGCCAGTATCACTATGTGGATGAGAGAAAGACCTGGGCTGAAGCTCGGAGATACTGCAGACAGCATTATGCTGATTTAGCCAGCGTTGATAAGATTGAAGAAACACTGGAGCTTATTAGCTTAGTAGACATCAGGTACAGCAGCCCAACCTGGATTGGACTGTATGATGATCTGAGCAGCTGGAAATGGTCTCTGGATGATGAGAGTTTCTACAAGGGGAATGAGAGAAACTTCAGGAACTGGTACAGGCAGAAACCTGTAAACTGGGGTGGAAACTCTTACTGCGTGTACTTTTCAAGCTATGCCTCTGCATGGGGGGAATACCCTTGTTCTTCGGCAATGCCATTCATTTGCTATGATGGTGAGCACAACTGTAATATATCTCCTGTAAAAGAAGCTCTAAATTTCAGTAACCTTTCCTAAAAATGCCTTATATTGAATTTGTTTCCTCTAGAAAGACTGGGTGTCACTGCAAGATATGTTTTTGTTAATCAGTACAAGAACTGGGCTGAAGCTCAGAGGTACTGCAGAGAATATCACACAGATCTGGCCAGTGTGAGGAACGTAACCGAGAACTGGGAGTTAAGATCATTGCAAAATTATTATTATGTTGCATGGATCGGCCTGTACAGAACCAGGTCCTGGTCCGATCAGAGCAACTCCTCTTTCAGCTACTGGAAAGCAGGACAGCCAGATAATGCTGGACAGAGTGAATACTGTACAGCTGTGTCATTCAATGAATCTGGACAATGGACAGATGAAAACTGTGCTCACACCCTGCCTTTCCTCTGCTACAGTGGTGAGTAGATTTCTGTCGTGGAAAAGATATATTTTTTAGATTATAGATAGATTATATTTTGCCTATTTATTATTAAATTGTTTATTTGTTTATTTTTACAAATATGTGAAGTCATTAGAACAACACAAAACAATGCACTGTAACACAAAAACAACAGTACACAGTCACAAACTTGCCAAATTGCTTTTTTTCCATGTCAAATTTTCCCTATTTTTTACAAAAAAAAATAAAAATAAAAAATAAATAAAAAATAAAGGAAGTAAAAACTGGGAAAGAATATTCAATAGTGATAAAATACCTTAAAGGGAAAAATACTGCCTAAACATAACAAACATAACAAATACTGTTAACATTTTTTACAGTGTAATCTAATTCATTATAAGGAATAGCAGTCTATATGAAAGTACTTTGTGAGATGTTTTAGTGTGAAGAACCTTTTTAAAGTTAAAAAAACCTCCAAAAAATAAATAAATACATTTTGGAAGAACCCTTAAGTTGGCAAACAACATTAACATTACGCTGTAAAAAATGTCTCGTCAGTTCAACCTAAAAAATTACCTCACGTAGTAACAAGTAAATTTAATATTTTTCTCGACCTAAATAAATATAATTCTTTCAATCAGTGTAATAATTTTTTTAATTTTAATTTTTAATTTTTTTGTCATTTTTTTAGTTGCTTGTTACCACATGAAGCAATCTTTTTAGACTTATCTGACGAGACACTTTTTACAGTGTAGGCTTTGTTCACACAGCAGGTAAAAGTGGCCCAAGTCTGATCGTTTTCTTCATATGTAGCACAGATGTGCGTCTGTGTGTCAGTGTGAACAGCAAAACATGCACTGAATCTGACATTTTCAATGCCGATTTGGGACACTTTCATATGTGGTACTGAAATCTGGTAAGTGTCCGATATGCACTAGTGGGACTTGGAATTCATGTGACGTCCATCAATCTAACTCGACATTCATCACAATTTTGCTCTTCAGAGACCTCATAAATATTTGGGCTGATGTTCCTGTACAAACAAAATTAGAAGTCACTTATGCAAGTTGGCTGGGGGCAGTCGTGGGCTGGAGGTTAGGGAACCAGCCTTGTGACCAGAAGGCCTCCGGTTCAATCCCCTGAGCTGACAGTATATGACTGAAGTGCCCTTGAGCAAGACACCTAACCCCAACTGCTCCCCGGGTGCTGTGGATAGGGCTGCCCACCACTCTGGGCAAGTGTGCTCACTGCCCCCTAGTGTGTGTGTTCACTAGTGTGTATGTGGTGTTTCACTGCACGGATGGGTTAAAATGCGGAGGTGAAATTTCCCTGTTGTGGGACTAAATAATAAAGGTCACTTAACAAACCACTCTGTGTTCGAAGAGATTTCGAAAGAAGTGGCTGAATGTGGTCGTAGGAGAACAAGGTTGCAGCATCAAAGAAAACTGAAGGTCTGAAAGCAATGCTTCAAGAAATCAAGGACACGAACCAAAAAAGCAGAGTAGACAAATAACGTGCTGTTTTTACAATGAGCTTAAGCACATTCTGGGTGATGAGCTCAGCTGTCAGCCATCTGAACATCTTATTCGCTCCTGAGATGCTGGTAAAGATGAAATTGAAACGCGTTATTGTTGACTCCATTGTTTACCTCTGGATGGGTGGGCCAAGTGAAGCATTGCTCTTCTACGTACGTGGATCAGTTTAGGAGCGTAACGTGTTCAGATGTCGTATATAAGTCACATTTAAAGAGTAACTACACACCACTATTTTCCGCTAACTCCACCCCTGGCTCAACTTTGAAAAATGCTCAAAAATGGGAGGGGCACGCTGGAAGCAGTGATGTTTGGGTTTGGAGGTGGGGCTGGGAGGGAAACCGGGTGGGCTGGGCTGCAGTGTTTTTGGAGCTATCGTATGTTAGCTACCAGAAAATAAGGAGAGTGACAGACTCAAACGGCACTTTAGAAACTTGAGGTTTTACAAGGTTTACGTTTTTTTCTCCACTACCATCCTCATCCTCATCTTCGACGAGGGAAGGTGTTTCTGATCAGGCAGTGCGTCTTGAGCCTTAACAGTGTGAGCCACTGACTCAAACTGCCCAAGAGTTAATGTAGTGCCAGAAAATGATTAGCAGCGTGTGAGAGAGGCGTTGAACGGTAGAATATTCCCTAAAACCGTTCAGCAGGTCCATATTCAATAACACCTGAGTCCTGATTTCTCAGATGCACTGAATTCCGAATGAATAAAGTGACTGTCAGCCAGGGTTTCCTGCAGTGAATCTAAATCCTTATGTTCTACAAGCTGTTCATGGCACTGGGAGCTTTATGGACAAGAATCCTCACTTAATCAGTCTGTCAGGTCACCTAATGTTAGGATGAACGTTATCAATACCTGTGCTAATCATAACAGCCTTGTGAGGTGGTGCTGGGGGTGTTTAGCTCAGAGCGTGAGTGTGATTCTCTCCTCACTCTCAGCTCCTGTGCTTTCATATTTATGAGCGCAGCACGAGTAGGGGATCATCGGGGCAGTAGCGTTGTTTGACTGATTTGCATACTGTGACGTGTCATCATACTTTGGCCTATAGCAGAGTTGAACCAGAGGGGGCACTGCAGAGGCAGAACTGACCACTATAAAAATGATATTGAAGAGCCTAACGAAAAACGGTGAGAAGATCAGATTTGGGCCACTTTTACTTGCTGTGTGAATGCAGCATTAGTTTACCTTGAACAGCCAAAAGAATATCATGACTCATTTCAACTGTTTTTGAGCGATTCCCCTGAAAAAAAGGAAAAAACAGACTGTTTGGTTTTCTTCTTCTGAAGATTTAATGACCTTGATGAAGCATTATCTGCAGTTGTTGATATGATTATTTGCTCAGAATAGCAATTAATGAAATGTTCAGATTGCTTTGCTACTTAAGCAGTAGAACACAGAGGGAGTGTGTTATCGCCAATAACATCACGGCTGTGATTTGGTCGCCGTAGATCATCACAGCCGTGATGTTATTGGCGATAACACACTCCTCGAGTGTTCTATTGCTTTAATACAACAGTTAAATAAATAAAGTAATAAATTAATAAACTGGGCCGTGAACGCGGCGTTTAATATGTTTTAATGTTCGCAGTTCCTTCACCAAATTATAGTTCCTTAACGAGCAGCTTGTTGCTACGTCAGAGTAACGAGCTCCGCCCACTCGCTGCTCAGCCAGCAGTTCGTTCTCCAGCTCCTTACACTAAATTCCCAAACTGTCACCACTGAGCAGCTTTTTTATTTTTTATTGCGGCAGTTTTATGGCTCAGTCTGATTTGGTCAGACTCTGAAGATCAGACTACACGTTTGGCGAATGGTGTTGGGTTCATTTCTGGCTGATTCCAGGTTGTTTAGCTGTTCTTCTGTCTCAGCTGCCGACTGAAAAGCTGCTCAGTGGTGATGACAGTTTGGGAATTTAGTGTCGTCTCATCTTCAGAGTCTGACCAAATCGGCTATCGGTCAAATGTGATCTTAAAAGTGTCCATTTTCTGTTTGTGGCAAAGTAAGAAGTAAAAATGTTCAAATGTCTTGAGCGTCTCCTACAGCTGATAAAGACGTTGCTTAGCAACGGCATCTCAGTGGAGTGATACAGTGTTTGTGAAAAAACGTGATGTTATGGTGAAATAACAGCACAGTTAGAACGCCTCTCAACCAATCAGCTTGCGTGGCCAGAACTAACTGTTGCATAATCTGGTATAATGTCCACGATATACAGTCAAACGCTGCTGCACGTTAAAGTTCATGAATAAACGTCACACCCATTTAGAAATCTCTTGACACTCATGCTCATCTCTCACTCGTATTTCCAAACTAACAGCATTTCCCAATCGGCGAGATGTCCTTCTGTACGAGGACTGTAATTTCTATACTGTAGATAACTGGTAAACATAATTTCTACCTTCTGTTTTGTGTTTCTCTAGGAATGTCATCTACATCATCTCGTCAGTATCACTTCGTTAACGAGAGTAAAAGCTGGACTGAAGCTCAGAGATACTGCAGAGAGAATTACACCGACCTGGCCACCATTGAAAACATGGAGGATATGAACAGACTCAATTCCACAGTGAACGGCAGCTATGCTGGTTTAGCCTGGATTGGACTGTATGATGACCTGGACAGCTGGAGATGGTCTCTGGATGATGACAGTTTCTACGGGGAGGGAGAGAGAGATTTCAGAGGGTGGCCCCATCAACCAGATAACTACAATGGAATGGAGCTGTGTGTTTACATTAACACCTATGGAACATGGTCTGATGCTCACTGTGAAACATATTTCCCATTTGTTTGCTATGATGGTATGAATATGTAACTGATTATCTGGGATATCGTTTGGTAGTTCATCTGTCGACATAATTGATCAAATTATAAATGTATTTCAGGCAACAACGGAACTGATGAGTACATCTGGATAAAACAGTACAAGACTTGGGCAGATGCTCAGCATTACTGCAGAGAGTTTCACACAGACCTGGTCAGTGTGAGGAACATAACTGAGAATCAGAGAATTGTCAACATTATAGGGAGCTCTGCTGTTTGGATTGGTCTCTACAGGACCAGACTGTGGTCAGACCAGCACAATTCTACATATGAGAACTGGAGACCATACATCTTTGACTCACCTGAACAACCAGACAACGGTTTATATGTTTTGCGAGAGTATGGTGATCAGCACTGCACTGCTGTATCGTTAAGTGATTCAGGCCTGTGGACAGATGAGAACTGCTTAGTCACACTCCCTTTTGTCTGCTACAGCAGTGAGTTCATTTTTCTCTTTTATGTAATTTTAGTACACAATTCGTTTTTTTAAGACAAAATAACTAGATAACACCTCAGTTTCGGGGCAGTTGTGGGTTGGAGGTTAGGGAACCAGCCTTGTGACCGGAAGATTGCAGGTTTGATCCCCTGAGCCGACAGTACGTGACTGAAGTGCCCTTGAGCAAGACACCTAACCCCCAACTGCTCCCCAGGTGCCGTGGATAGGGCTGCCCCCTAGTGTGTGTGTTCACTAGTGTGTATGTGGTGTTTCACTGCATGAATGGGTTAAATGTGGAGGTGAAGTTTCCCCGTTGTGGGACTAATAAGGGTCACTTAATTAACAATTGGGTCATTCTATGGAAACATCCACTTTTCTCTCCATAGGAGTCACTGGTGTTACTGATCCTCATTGGTGTTACACATAATAAAGGAAACACCAGAGACATTTTTAATGAACAATGCATTTTACTAAATGGCTGCTACAGAACATCAAACCACATGTCAATCATGGAATATTCACTAAAATATGTAATTTAAAAATTTTTTCACAATTACCTCAGAATAAAGTCGGTCACACCAGTGACTTCAGCTAAAAGCTTCGTATGAAATCATGAGCTAAATGAGAAAATCTCTGATAACTGAAAGACACAGTGGACTCACCATGTGCTTTTCTTCATAGATCCTCAGAAAACAGGTAAAAGGAAGTCAAGTGATGTCATCAGTGTGACTTTTATTTCAAAATAAGAGATTTTTTGTTGTGCAGTGACACCAGTGACACGACTCCTGGGGACTTTTATTATATATTTTATAATATTTATTTGTCATTTGTTTTCTTTGTCATTTAAATCATATATTCCATAGTCATGTATAGATTATTGCAGTTAAAATAGCAGAAAAACTTTTTTTTAACCTCAAAATATGGCCTCAGCCTTTATACATGACTGTGAGGACAAGCTCTTCTGTGGTGCTCGGAATTCTATACAACTGATTTAAAAAAAATAATATTGCTAAATTGATGGATCAAGAAGGTGTAATTGTGAAAACACCTTATTGTTTTGTTTTAAAATATAAATAAATTCTAACCCTAACATGTTTAAGTGTAATATATTTCTAACACTAGGGACACAAAAATGGACGTTTTTGTAGAATGACCCAATTGTTTTGCTTCTGCTGGCAAAAACAACGAATTGTTGCTTTTTTATTGCTAAGCATCTAAAACACTACATTCACCCTCAATAATAAAGGCTCCTAAATGGTCCTTAGATTTGGATGTACGGTTCTGCAGTGCAGTGTAAACATGGAAGCTGTTTACTTATCATGAGTCTTTCTTGTGATAGAATTTTCTTCTTATGACCAGACAGAATCATCCTTAATGTGTGTAAAAATACTTATGCCTTTTAATGTTGATAATTCTACATGAAGCTTACAGTCCAGAAAGTGCAAGAATTTACAAACATCTACGTAAAAAGTTTGTAATGTTTTTCTCTTTTAAACAAAGGCTTCTGCACAGGGCTCTCATGTGACCCTCATCAGTATCACTTTGTTAGTGAGAATAAGAGCTGGCCTGAAGCTCAGAGACACTGCAGAGAGAATTACACTGACCTGGCCACCATTGAAAACACAGAGGATATGAACAGACTCATGAAAACAGTGAATGGCAGCTTCTTTGGTTTAGCCTGGATTGGACTGTATGATGATCTGGACAGCTGGAGATGGTCTCTGGATGATGACAGTTTCTACAAAGACAATGTGACAACCTTCAGAAACTGGTATATACAGAAACCTGTTAACTTGGGAGGAAACCTAATGTGTGTGCTGATTTCACATTTTTCCGCCACATGGTGGGAAGCCTCTTGCTCTAATTGGTTAAGATTCATTTGTTATGATGGTGAGTACAGCTGGTAAATACTGAAAACAGCTCTAGAAGCCCATAGTAATTACTTCAAAATGTGAAATATGATGTTTGTTTCTCTTAGGAAGAGTAAATGGCAGTCCAAGATATGTTTTTGTTGATCAAAACCAGAACTGGACTGAAGCTCAGAGGTACTGCAGAGAACATTACACAGATCTGGCCAGTGTGAGGAACGAAACCGAGAACTGGGAGTTAAGATCATTGCTAAAAAATTCTAATGCGTATTACCCTGCATGGATCGGCCTGTACAGAACCAGGTCCTGGTCCGATCAGAGCAACTCCTCTTTCAGCTACTGGAAAGCAGGACAACCAGATAATGCTGGACAGAGTGAATACTGTACAGCTGTGTCATTCGGTGATTTGGGACAATGGACAGATGAAAACTGTGGTCAAGCTTTACCTTTTCTCTGCTACAGTGGTGAGTATATTTCTGTTTTCTGGTTGAAATTTAGTAATGGATTTTTTAAATCCAAACCTGCCACAGTGACTATTTACCTTTGTTTGTGTTGCTTTATTACTGAATAATGAGTGTACAATACATTATTACATACACCAATCAGGCATAACATTCTGACCACCTCCTTGTTTCTACGCTCATTGTCCATTTTATCAGCTCCACTTACTATATAGGTGCACTTTGTAGTTCTACAGTTACAGACTGTAGTCCATCTGTTTCTCTGATACTTTGTTAGCCCCCTTTTACCCTGTTCTTCAGTGGTCAGGACCCCATGGACCCTCACAGAGCAGGTACTATTTGGGTGGTGGGTCATTCTCAGCACTGCTGTAACACTGACGTGGTGGTGGTGTGATAGTGTGTGTTGTGCTGGTGTGAGTGGATCAGACACAGCAGTGCTGCTGGAGTTTTTAAACACTGTGTCCACTCAGTGTCCACTCTATTAGACAATCCTACCTTGTCAGTCCACCTTGTAGATGTAAAGTCAGAGACGATAGCTCATCTGCTGCAGCACAGTTTGTGTTGGTCATCCTCTAGTCCTTCATCAGTGGTCACAGGACGCTGCCCACAGGACGCTGTTGGCTGGATATTTTTGGTTGGTGGACTATTCTCAGTCCAGCAGTGACACTGAGGTGTTTAAAAACTCCAGCAGCACTGCTGTGTCTGATCCACTCAGACCAGCACAACACACACTAACACACCACCACCACGTCAGTGTTACTGCAGTGCTGAGAATGACCCACCACCCAAATAGTACCTGCTCTGTGAGGGTCCATGGGGGTCCTGACCACTGAAGAACAGGGTAAAAGGGGGCTAACAAAGTATCAGAGAAACAGATGGACTACAGTCTGTAACTGTAGAACTACAAAGTGAACCTATAGAGTAAGTGGAGCTGATAAAATGGACAATGAGCGTAGAAACAAGGAGGTGGTCATAATGTTATGCCTGATCGGTACATCAGTTCTGAGGATTTTTCATGGTTTTCTAGCAGCGCCATCTCGTCAGTATCACTTCGTTAACGAGAGTAAAAGCTGGACTGAAGCTCAGAGATACTGCAGAGAGAATTACACCGACCTGGCCACCATTGAAAACATGGAGGAAATGAACAGACTCAATTCCACAGTGAACGGCAGCTACGCTGGTTTAGCCTGGATTGGACTGTATGATGACCTGGACAGCTGGAGATGGTCTCTGGATGATGACAGTTTCTACAGGGAGGGAGAGAGAGATTTCAGAGGGTGGCCCCATCAACCAGATAACTACAATGGAATGGAGCTGTGTGTTTACATGTCTTCAAGAGGGGAATGGTTTGATACTCCCTGTACTGAAATATGGGGATTTGTTTGCTATAACAGTAAGTGCTGCAAACATCAGAATAATTTAAATAACCTAATAATAAATCTGCAGCGCTGGTGATTCTGGGTGCGGCGTATAGAGTCTCCTGTGCAGCAGTGCTGTAAGTTAGAGTGAACACATATCTAAAGGCATGGCTTGGTGTGCTGCAGCCACAGCCAATCAGATCAGCTCTCCTCGATCTCTTTAAGAAGAGCATGTGATGTTTTCCTAATGGTGGAAGATCACTTTCTACAACCCAGACAAATTATCGTCATTTATTGCATATAATACGATAATATTTTTTAAAAAAATCGCTGACATGCTGATTATCTCTTGCTTAATGTAGTAGAGAAACTGTAGTGCTCTTAATTAGAGCTCAAACTAAGTAAAACCAAGTATTTTGAGTAATGACTCAGTTTTGCTTGCTGACGACTGGGATTTGAAGCCCGGCGAAGGTATTAACATCAGTCTTCTCGGTTGTCTTTGGTGGAATTCTAAACACTGAAACAAAAGTGATTGTAACATACAGTACATTAAATTAAGATTAATTAATCTTTATTTTGCCCTTTTTAACAGTTGTACCCCATTTATCGAAAAGTAATGGAAGGAAAAATAAGTTAGCTCATAATAATAAGAAGAACCCTTAAAGAATGATCGTTTTTTAAGTGTGTAGAATAACAAAACTGTACTTTTTACACTGTAAAAAACGTCAGATCAACCTAAAAATGACTGTGTATACATACATACATCATCTAAACCGCTTATCCTTCTGGGTCGCGGTGGGGTGCTGGAGCCATGACTGTGTAGTAATGAGTAAAATAAATACTTTGTAAAGACCTGAATTAATACTTTGAACGATTCTTTCAGTGTAATTCTTGAGTTTAATAAAACTAGTTTAATTGCTTGTTTTACTACATGCAGTAATTTCTTCGGTTGATCTGATCAGCCATTTTTTACAGTGTAAGGAGGATTTTCACACATCCTTTTTTAATGGCTGCATTTTGGGGAAAAAAAACAGTGGAGACGACACCTCTACAAATCTTCCTTTGATTTCTTGCCTGTATCTTCCTTACTTTATGCATAAATAGAGAAAAAAAAACTGTAGTTTGCAACATCTTTGAACATGGCTTCATGCCTTTGTGCTTGTTTGTGATAAGAGTAGGTCTGAGGAGGTGGTATCCTGGACAGGTCATCAGTCCATCGCAGGGCATAATAATATAAATAATAATAATAATAATAATAATAATAATAATAATAATAATAATAAATGTAAAAAAATACTTAATAATTAATTTAAATAATATATAGCCACACACAACTAACATGCTGTCATTAAAGACTGTATACCTTTAACCACTGTTGTGTGTTCCCTGTTAATGTCCTTACCTTAGCAGAAGAATGCAGACTGACTTGTTTAGGACTTTAAGATTAGGACTTGAGACTGTACTGACTCAGGACTTGAATCAAGACTCGACTGTCTCGAGTCAGGACTCGAGTGTGAAGACTTGAGACTTGCAACTGAGTGACTTGTTGCCACCTTTGATCAAAAGGGCTGCATACTTTAATTATTTTACATCTTTAAGTAATGAACAGCTGTCATCTTTGACAGGCATTAAAATCTCTCAGATCATTTTGGTTTTCGATGATCTTAAATGAATATATATGTATCTTTCACTGCTCTCTACTTTAGGCAGTAGCAGCACATATGTGTGGGTTTCTCAAGGAAAGACTTGGGCAGAAGCTCAGAGTTTCTGCAGAGAGTTCTACACAGATCTGGCCAGCGTGAGGAACCAGACTGAGCTGCAGCAAATACAGAGAATTTCAAATGGCAATGCAGTTTGGATTGGTCTGTATAGAAACCGACTGTGGTCAGATCAGAGCAACTCCGCTTTCACGTACTGGAGACCACGGATCCAATCAATACAAACAGAACCTGATAACGGTTTGTACTCAGCTGGACAGTATGGGAATCAGCACTGTACAGCTGCAGATCTAAAACATTCAGGACAATGGACCGACGAAGACTGCTCAGCCAGTTTCCCATTCATCTGCTACAGTGGTGAGTGGTGTAATTCTGTAAAATATTTTAAAACTAAAGACTTCTGGGTAACACTTTCTATGAATGTCACCTTTGTAAGCATCTATAAACACATTCATAACATGTTATAATGCATTCATAAGACATTATAAACATAGCTATAAATATTTATAAAAATGCATTATACGTTATAGCCATGTTTATTATGCATTATGAATTGTTAACATAATACATTATAAGTACTGTTCATAACAAATGATAAGAGCTCATAAGTCGTATTTGTCTGCTCTAAGTAAAGTGAAGCGTACTGTACTAAAGCCTCCTCCAGTGTTCAGAGTGAGGCTTCAAGTTGAAGTATTTACTGAAGGATTTACTGAAACACTAAAACATTCACAGTAAAGCACATTACAGGCTTCAAATGTCAGAGTTTAAACTAGAGCTGCCATCAGTGTTTTACCCAATGTGGGAAAGGTAATGTACACCACCGTTAGCTTGGCATTTGTCTTTACTTTACGCTCTCCAAGCTGGGACTGACTTCTTTGGCAGTGACAGTATAACATGTTATTAACACTATTTATAATGTATTATATTAACAATTCATAATGTATAATAAACATGGCTATAAAGTGTAATTCAGTGTAATTCTTTTTTATAAATATTTATAACCATATTTATAATACCTTATGAAAACATTATAACACATTATAAATGTGTTTATAGATGCTTACAAATGCGACATTCATAGAAAGTGTTACCAACTTCTGTTCCTAGTGGTGATCAGGTGATTGGTGACATCGCTAATGTTGCAATACCACACAAACTATTCTGAATGCTAACTGTTAAACTGTTTCCTAATGCCAACTGCTGACTGTGTGCTGTGGGCCCTGTCTAGGTGCACCTCAACCAGGTGAGAAAAGCACATACTTCTTAGTCTTCCTTACGCTCTAAAGTAGACAGCTCTTTAGACAGTTCTTAAGGGGGAACTCCACCAATTTTTCAAAATTTCTGTGTAACTCAATCATTGAGACATTAACAGGCTACAGTCTGGGAGAGCAGGGCACAACCTAACACGTTTTGTTGAATAATTTTTAAAGTATTTAAGTAATCATATTTTTTTTATACAAGCAACATTAATACCTCTGCTACAAACACTTTGTTTCCAGCTCCTACTGTTTAGTACAACTCCACCCAAAATGAGGAAGGTGCTGTGTTGCAGTTTAGCCCATGGGTGGGTTCACTGTAACAGACAGATGGTCAGTTTAACACCTACAAGAAAAGTCTAATCAATCAGTGCAAACAAAGTTAATCCAATATGATTTTGTGTTGTAAGAAACAAATATATTTTCCAACCAAACTGTCTTATATATTATCACTAAAATTATCTATAAGACAGACAGACAGATCAACTGATTCACACATCAAATTATATATGAACACTGATGTGAGTCTGTGTGTCAAACAATGACAGGGTTATTGTTTGTTCAGTGAAGGACAGCAAATAAAAACATCACACATCAGTAAAATATGGAACATTGTTTCTGAATAGCTACAACTGTACCAACTATTAATGTCCATTTTATTAATATACTTATCTAAAACCAAAACACTGACATCTGAAAGATCCTAATAAAGTAGAAGAAAATCTCTGTTTTCAGAAGTTTCTCTTTTTTCCCTTTAAAATCTGTGTAAACTGGAACAAAAAGACTGAATGTGCTTTATTAGTCTTTGTGTACTGAAGGTGTCTGAGCTGTAATGCTGTATAAGAACTAATCCCGCAGTGCGGAGGCTGGACTGAAGGCCAGCTGCACTTGCTGTGAGTTTGTCAGTTGCTACTAAACTGTGCTGCACTGTAGGAAACAAGATGATGATTACAGTAATATAAGGTTGGATTTTGTGATTCACACAAACAGCTCAGTAACCAAAAAATAACTTGTGTTGATAAAAATGACTTGCATGCCCTGAAAACACTCTTTGGCTCAGATCTCTTTAAAACATTGACCAATCACTCTGACTTTGGTGGGAGACCGCAGCTAGGAAATTTGGTGATGTGGCCAGAAGCTCATGCTGCTTGACCTTCTATAACAGTGTAAAAGTTTGTGCCCCGTGTTAGGTTGTTCCCCGCGCTCCCCTACTCCCGATGGGGCCCTCTGCTCTAGGCCTCTGTGTTAATTCCCACCTTAACACCCCCTTTAGTTACAACCCTGGTGAAAAATGTATTTTTGAATAATAGACATCCTTAAGAAAATGTTTTCATGAATCCTTAGAGTCTCAAGAAACACTGCATATCTTTGTGTACAGACTCTGCATATATCAGGCAAGCATGCATGTATTATAGCGATTATAACTCACCACGTTTGTCACAGGTCCTGTTACGGGACTGAGAGTGAAAGTTAAAGACACTAAGAATCGGTCTGGATCTCAGATTGAACGATTGGTTTTAATGCAGGTGAGTAGCTTTTCTTTCCTTACTGTCATTATCTAAACTGATAACCTGTTGCTTATTTCACCCTGATCTAACAAAGACCCAGTAAAGATCCAGTCTCTAATTTCTCTAATGGGAATAATAATCTTAATTGCACAGATTGTCAGGAAAAAGTGTAAAAAGACTTAAGAAACTAGTCTTAGAAGTCTGTGTCTCCATGTTGGTGGGTGAGCTGTAACTCTGTGCTCTGATGGAGCTCAGCTCATCACCGTTACTGCAGATACAGCCCTGCAGGTGGACAAACACCAACAACACAGACCAGAATGACCACAAACACATGAGCAGATATGAGGACACTTTAGATGAGTCTACTGAAAACACTACGAGGAGAAGATCAGCTGATTGGTGGATCAGTATGACCTGCACATCTCCAGAGTTCAGAACATTCCAGTGTGAGATTTTATAAAAACTAATAAAAGTGGCTCCAAAACTGCCAAAGCTCTTAAATAATAAACTCATACACAGAAATAAAGATGAAGCTTCTTATTCACCAGATTCTCATCTGAATTTTCTGTTCCAAATTAAATGGAGTTGCAGTTACACTGAGGTGCCTTAAACGTAGAACGAATTACGAAAGTTGGCGAATACACAGGTAACATCAGTAAATGCATTAATCTACCTCAATATATGAATCATTTTCCCTTATTCAATGCATTTATTGACCTCAGTATCTCAAACTTTCTCTTGGAGGTGTTTAATGAGCAGCTAACGAGCAGCACAGCAGAGCAGCTATTGAACGCATCTCACTGGCTGATCTAACGCCGCGTCCCAAACCACACACGTCTGCACTTCACCTAATACACTAATGAGTGCACTTCATCAATCAAATGAAATCACTAAAATATATCAGTTAATATACTTTAAATATGAATTACAAAGTGTTTAAAAACATGTTTTACTGCCTTTGCTGGGTCAGTTATGGCTTATTCTCATTACAAGCAGCCACAGCTCTGCTGAATGAACTTGACATTGCCTACTAAAATGGTGGCAGCATGATTGCGATGTCCTCGGAATACTATCAATGACCATTGTAGGTTTTAGTATGCACATCATTGAAACCCCTGCTGGTATTATGCTGTTGAGATTATCATGACGAAACATGCTGCTTCTGTGTTAGAGTTTGATAAGGGAAAGCAAGTTTAATGTAGCTGAGCTTTTGTTTTCAGCTTCAAGATGAGCTCATCAGGTTGGGACTTCCCAGCAACTTCACTCTGAAAGTGAGAAACCTGCGTAAGACCACTCCCTGATGGAGACAGCAAGTCTTTGCTGTTCACAAATACTTGGGATTATTTGTTGTTCTTTGGTAGTTAACAATAGTTCCCAGAATGATTTACATAAATACAGATTTTGTTATTCTTATTGAAAATGCACTTGATTTGGGTTATTGGGAAGTTTAAGATTGGTCAATCATTAAGGGCTACTCTTTTCAGCAACCGCATTATGAGCTAATCTAAATATTGCTTAAGTGTAACTTAGGAGCTGCTTGCTTTAATAATATTAGAGACTCTCAGATATGATTTATTATCAAACATGTGAAAACTATTAAAGCTATTTTATTGATCTATCGGTAAAACAGACTTCAGCAGCACCAACATCCAGCAGGCAGAGTTTTATTTACAACTAGAAAAAGAAAGTCAGAGAGGCAAACAGAGTCAAAAAGGGGTCAGGCTAGAATAGTAAATGAGAGAAAGGAGCAAGAAAGCAAACCAGGAAGTCAAACACTGGAACAAAATACTCGGTAATGCTCACGTGACTGATACAATACTTCGTAAGGAGGTTATGGAATCAAACTGGGCCAATGAACAGGTGACAATCAATAATCAGGTGCGTGGAGCGTGGATAGGTAGACGGCTGAGAGTCTGTGGTAATGTGATCCCCTGGAGGACGGTGGGAGTTGGAGTTCTGGATGAAGTGAGGGGTGATAGTCTCTGTCAAGTCGGTTCAACATGCCAAACACAAATGTGGGAAAAGAGATTTTTGTTGCAGTGTAAATTCAGTCACACACTGCATGATATAGCTGATATCTTATGTTCAGAATATTATAATAAATCAAAACATAACAAAGGTGTCCTGGAATGTAGTTAATGTAATATATAGTGGACTATAAAAAAGAAAGTACTGAGGAAATAATACATGCAAGAGGGTCACCATAAAGTTGGTTTGATACAAAGCAGAAAGGAGCTGATATATGAACTTCAAAACATCACAGTTTAGTCATCTTCCTTTCCTAAGTAATCAGCTTCAAGAAACAATAAGATTGGTAGTTTACATTGTACAGTATGGATTAGCAGTCCAGCATAAATCACTGTATCATTTACTACCCCATAGCCACAGTGCTGCAGCTGTTATTACCAGTTAATTGTTGGTTATTACTGGTATTTTCTTTCTATATTTTAAAGTTTTTACAATGCAAGTTGTTTGTTTATTTATTTATTTGTTTGTTTTTGTAAATGGTGTAATTTCTGTCATTATAATTTTGTGTTTTATCCTTGTTATAATCAAAGTTTGACAGTATATATAACCCCTTCCACAATTATTGGCGCCCCTGGTACAGATGAGCAAAAAAGGTCATTGGAAATTCACCTTTTGGTGAACTAGCTCAATCTCTCACTGAAAAAAAGAGAAATCTCCAAGCTTTAACTAAAATATATTTAATTTGGGATAAAAAATTCATCATTTTTTTAACAAAACCACATGTGCCACAATTATTGACACCCCTGCATGTAATACTTTGTACAACCACCCTTCGCCGATAAAACAGCACTTAATCTTTTCCTAAAACATCTTAAGAGAATACAGAGCTGGGAATTTGAGACCATTTCTCTCCACAATCTCTCCAGATCATCCAGGGTCCTAGCTCCTCTCTTGTGCACTCTCCTCTTTAGCTCACCTCACACCATTTCCTGTGTGCAATATAATCAATTCTTCATGTGCAATACATGTAAAATATCCTTATAGTGTAAAGATTTTTGCTCTTTTATTTATAATGTTTATATTCTTAACTTTGTGAAGGATAGTTTATGTTATATATATATATATATATATATATATATATATATATATATATATGGTAATAAGTAACAAACTGTAAACCTTGCTAATTAATAAGGTTATTAATAAGGTTAATACCTTATTTATTACTTCTTCTGTTGTTGCTTCTTTGTCTTGAGCGTCTTGCTGTCCCTTTGCTGCTGTAGCACTCTGAATGTCCCCCATTGTGGGACTAATAAAGGATTATCTTATCTTACATTATCTTAAAATATTTATCTTTACATAGGTGCTGTGAAATTACAGATTGGAATTGTTCCATGTGATTTGATCAGGTTTCCATGATACAACACAAATTTGAAACAATAACTATGTAAAAGTTACACTTTAAAATAAGACAGTTCCCATGTAGTTACGTTGGTACAGTGAAATTACAGAATGGTAATCCAGATATTGTTTTGGAGTTAGTTTAATACAACACACATTTTAATGAAGAACATTAAAGTTACTTTTAAAGATATGTTTTCTTGCTGTGTAAATACCATCGAATCACAGAATAGTTTAAAGCCAAAGAATTTTGGTTACCATTTCACAACAAGCATCCTACTACAGTTATCTAACTGCTAGGAAAGTTGGCATTTCCAGTGCAGATGCAGTGTAAGAACTTGCATAATGTACCTCCTAAGTCTTGTGGGAAAAACATCAGTTCACCCTATTACACAAGGGTAATTACATAAGATATGCTATTAATATTATTAATATACACTCATAACTACATTAAGTCGAGATGTGTATTTACATTATCTGTACTGTTGTAAACCATGTGCAACAATGAATATATATAATCAGTAGTTATGTTGTTGTTGTTCCATGTGTTGTTAATGCGTAACTACACAGTTGGACACTTTACATAAAATGCAACCAATTTTTCTTAAGTGGAAGTTTATTTCCCTTAAGTATTTGACTTTATTACATTTTTAAAATAAGCATTTTATGGTAAAGGATTACTTAAAAATTATGCTCGCTCTTCATTTGAATGTACTTGTTGAACGGCTGTTATCTCTGACAGGCATTAAAACCTGTAACTGATTTTATTTGCTATCTATCAGATCATTCTGGTATCTGCTGATCATAAATGAAGGTATGCATATTTCACTGCTCTCTACTTTAGGTAAAAACAGCACATATGTGCACATTTTTGACAGAAAGACTTGGGCAGAAGCTCAGAGTTTCTGCAGAGAGTTCTACACAGACCTGGCCAGCATGAGGAACCAGACTGAGCTGCAGCAAATACAGAGAATTTCAAATGGCAATGCAGTTTGGATTGGTCTGTATAGAAACCGACTGTGGTCAGATCAGAGCAACTCCACTTTCACATATTGGGAAAAAAGCGGCTTGATATGCATACTCGGAACCTGATAATGATTTGGGCTCACCTGGACAGCTTGGAAATCAGCACTGCACAGCTGTGGATCATTCAGGACAATGGACCGATGAAGACCGCTTAGCCAGTTTCCCATTCATCTGCTACAGTGGTGAGATAATCTCTTTTCTGTGTATTATGGTAAAATATTTCAAAAATAGGTCTTAATAGCACCAGAGAAAAGGGATGAATGAGTAGTGCTCCATTAACACTTATTAACTACCAGGGACTACTCAGTAGGTAATAGTGAACTAATGATCAGGGAAGTTCTCAGTAACTACTGAGACTCATTGAGAATTACACTGTAAAAAGTGTCTTATTTCATGTGGTAACAAGCCATTGAACCAGTTTGATTCAACTTAAAAACTACAATGATTGAAAGAATCATTCATTCAAAGTATTTATTTAGGTTGAATAAAACTAGTTAATTTACTTGTTACCATATGAAGATTTTTTTTAAGTAGATCTGATGAGACACTTTTTACAGTGTACTTTGTAACTGTGGTTCCTTAGAAGTACAACTCCTAAGTTAATGATCAATTCAACAGTAATAATCAATTGCTGAGTCTAACAAGGTTCCTGCTGAACTATTAACTAATGTAGTGTATTCCAACACTTCTAACAGTATTGAACACTACACAGTGTGCAGTCTGTAAAATATAAAGGATAATATCCTCCATTATTATTTACAGATACTGTAATAGCTCAGCCTATCTGAGTCTCTGCTTCACTCTCTTAACGCTGTATAATCAGTCTGGATTAACAGAACTAACTGCCTGTGTGTTTCATTGACGACCTGAACAACTGCCCATCCTGTGTGGTCTGCTGCTGTTCTTTATCTGCCCTGATCGGGTGCCCACTGCTCGCCAGCCTTCTGGACCAGTCTGACCACGATGGAGCTTCCTGCTGAGCAGCATTGTACAAACCTCACCTGGACGCCACTGACCCTCCTGATGACACTGCTGCATTTGTAATCATAGACAGTGCTACTCCTGCTTTCTCTGCTGTTATTGTTTGCTATTCAGTGTCGACCAGAGGAGGATGGGTTCCCCTTTTGAGTCTTGGTTCCTCTCAAGGTTTCTTCCTCTTGCTTTTAGGGAGATTTTCCTGCCACTGTCTCCATTGGCGACGCTCATGGGGGCTCAGACTCGGATTTGTCTGTAAAGCTGCTTTGTGTCGAGCCGAGCTGTACTTGAAGCTCGAAGTGCTCGAGGTGCAGTTCGAGTTTTGACCATTGCCATCAGGGTGGGAGGGGCTGGTCCACTTTTGGCTTTGTAGGCATCAGGGTTTTAAACCTGATGCAGCTACAGGAAGCCATTGAAGGGAGCACAGCAGTGGAGTGAAGGGAGTCCTGCTAGGACTGAGTTTCAGGTGCTGAGCTGCCATCCATGAAGAGATGTCAGTCAGACATGCTGAGATGCAACAGGAAACCTTTACACCACATACAAACAGGACAAGCCAGCGCCAATCCTTCCTGCCACTTTTTGGATTCCTTTTACTGTATTACTATTTTTCATCATTCTTTTTCAATTTATGCAATAGAGAATATAATAACTGGCTATCATATCCGTGTTGAGGCAACTGTACCACAATTAGAATGCGACACATAACTGCATAGAACCATTTAAGGGTCTTTGAGGTGTGATACAGAAGAACATTCTCCTTCAGGATTTTCTGATAGAGAGCAGAATTCATGGTTCTATCAGTTATGACAAGTCGTCCTGGTCCTGCAACAGCAAAGCAGCCCCAGACCATCACACTGCCACCATCATGTTTCACTGTTGGTATGATGTTCTTATGGTGGAATGCGGTGTTAGTTTTACGCCAGATGTAATG